AAAATTAATTAAAAATTTTACATTTAATAAAGTTTAACATATACTCTTAGAAAACATGTTAAACAAATTCTTAATAAATTTGTAAAAATATAAGAATTTGATATAAAATTTTGTGTAAAATTAATTAAAAATTTTACATTTAATAAAGTTTAACATATACTCTTAGGGGCAAGTTAAATAAATTCTTAATAAATTAAAATTAATCTTTATTCTTTTATAAAAATTAATTATTAAAAAGTACATTAAATATAAAAGAACATGTTAGAAAAATATTTTCATAAAATAAAATTTATAAACTAGTTAATTTTAAAAATAAGATAACAAAATTAAAGTAAATACTAAATACCTTTAAACCCAAATTATGAATCATATTACCAAATTAAATTAAGTTTTTATTTTTAAGATTTTAAATTGTTTATTTAATAAAATCATAAATAATAATGATAATGATTGGATAAGAATCAAAATTTTAAGTGTTTAAATATTAAATGAAATTTAATTTAATGATATTATTCTTTCCTTTTTCTTTTTATTTTTTATAGAAATTGTTTGATGTTAAAAAATTTAAATTAAATTTTTTATTTAATTTTTATAAAATTACTAATTATTACATTCAACTTTTAATTATGAATAAATTAAAAAAATTGAAATATTAGCAATAAAGATTATAGAGTTTAGTGATTTAACAATTGGTGATGGATTTGAGATAGTAATAATGAGCATAACTTCAGGGAATTACATGTTTACTTTGATGAAGATGCTCATCATTTAAGGCAAATAAATGAATTAGTAACGATACTCCATCTATTTAACATTTGTCTTTATTGTGGAATTGGTTTAAGACTTTTTTTTATATTCAAGACTTATTTTGTAGTGAATTTAGTTTAAGATTGAGTTTTTTCTTGTTATCATACTTGATGAACTTATCTTATATTATGTATTTTAATATTTGTTAGTTTAAATCTTAAAAATTATCTGTATTTAATTAAATTTATTATTTTAAATAGTCTAAATGATGATTTTTAAGTTGATCAAATGATGATTTTTAAGTTGATCTTATGATGACTATTTTTTAAGAATAAAATAAAAATAATATACAATAGTAAAATTTAATAAATATGTTCAAAAACCTATTTTTTAAGTTGATCGATTGGCTAGTCCAATGAACCGATTCAACCAAACCCAATAGCCAAACTGAGTCAACCACCAGGCCGAACCTAAAAACACTTATCCAATCACTTTAATTATCAATCCTATTAACATAAGCTTTTTTCCAAAAATAATATAAATAAAAACAAAAATAGTCTTCAAATTTTTTATATGGAAAAATTTCAAAGGAGGACTATTATTGTCAGATAGAGTAATCAACTTTATTGTAAAACATTATAATGTTTACTCCTCTCATAATAATAGTCTTTTTTTTTTTCTTTTTTTTCTAAATTAAGAATTTAGGGATAATTTATGTTTTTATTTATATTATTCTTAAGGAAGAGATAAAAATAAAGCAAACTTCTATTGATAGAATGAATAATTAGAATGATTGGATAACAATAAGTTAAGTTAACAGAAAAAATTATTGTTTCCCTTAAAATTCAATATGGAAAAATGACAATTAAACTACGATCAACAACTATTATTGTGGCATATATAGAAGAAGTAATTTTTGTATATTTTTTAAAGAAAGACATACTATTTAGGGGTGAGCAAGGTTTGGTTTCTATTGCAATTGAAACCAAATTATTAGTCAACGGAGCTAGGTTTTGGTTATAGACTATAAGAAACCATTAATCATATTGAAAAGTTCAGTATTATTGATTTTCCTTAATATCTTGAAGATAATTAACCATTTGGTTCAATTTTGATTTTAACAAAAAAAAAAAAAAACCCC